AAAATCATAATTCAGATAAATTCATCATAATTCAGATAAATTAAGAAATAACATCAATGAGAGCTGAATGAATATGCTGGGCATAACCAAATGCTCCTTAACCCTTTCCGGCAAGCTACCTTTTAAAGTCAGAATTTTGAGGGAAAAAAAAAAAAGAAAAAGAAAAAGAAAAAGGCAGGCAGTCTAATTAGGCCTAGAGGAGTACACAAGCAAAATTCTGTGAAGATAGCACTTATCGTTTTAATTCTTTGGGTGTGCACAAAGTGGCACACTAATTGAATAGAGCTTCGAAAAAGAGTGCTGAAACGAGTATTGTTGTCAATGAACTTACTGATGAGATGCGGAGAAACAAAGAATACAGACTCTCAGTTGTCCTAGATTATCGGTGAGCCCGATTTGGGCACACCTACGGTTCGCCATTTGATTTTAGTTAAGAGTTAAAATTAAAACTAATATAGAATAAGGAGATTAGCATACAGCCAAAAAAAATAACAGAAATTTCTTTTCACACAATTCCTTTTATACCTAAAAAAAAAAAAAAAAAAAAAAAAAAAAAAAAAAAAATAAAAAAATGAGGGTCTTAAAAAAAATAAACATGGCTAAAATATATGGACTGGTTTCTGTTGAGCTGCCATCTACTAAAAATAAAGAAGGTTCAGAGTAACCTATAAATCCTTTTTCATTCAATTTTTCTGTGGATACAGAAGGAAATTTTTAGGTGTGTCCACACTGGACACACTGTGCTGCAAAGGGTTAAACTTGGTTGATAATCCGGTAACTTCAAATTTTCTGTCTGTGAAAGCTGTATGGCATTATTATTTAGCATTACAAAATTATATTTCTCTAGTTGTTCAAAAGATGTGAAAAAGAGATTCAAGGATCTAAATTTTCAGGTTTAACAGAAGTTCTAGAAACGGATGCATTTGTTTTAAATCTTGGACTTATGTATGCGAAAATAATTGTGTCAGAACTTAAAGTTCATTACTTAAAATCTAAACTTATGAAAGTTCTTTTGGATGAAATTTAATGTTAGATATACAGCTTGCGTGAAGTGATACAATTTAATATTTTGATTAAACTTTAGATTTAACTATTAGTTTTTACGTTTCTCTAGAAAAAGTTATTTAGGATAATTGCTAAGTATGGGAAGTGGTTAAAGGCATAAAAACCTTAAATGGAACATAACAACAACATAATTCAACCACTTTTAAAGTAACAAATGTGCAATTAAGCATCATATACGAATAAAAACACTGAGCTCACTGAGCCGGGTATATACAGTACAAAGTCCGAAATCCGGACTCGTCGGGACTTCGGCGATTCCGTATTTGGAATTTTTCCGGATATTAGATCATCAATTTAAATCTGGTAAGATGGCATGTAGAAATGATACAATTGAAAATATAAAATCGTAATTTATGAAATAAAGAACAATTATGATTTAAAAGGTATCAAAATTTACAAAAAAAAAGCTTAATACTTATTTGTTTACTTTATTAAACATTTCTTTCAATGTAAGTGTTTAAGTTGCTTTCATAAAAAATTCAAAAAGTTCCTTTTTCTTATGTCACATACAGTTGACTTTCCAATGCCATACTCCTCGCATAATTTTGAGACGGATATGGCTTTATCCCTTTTTTGCAGCAATTGCACATTTTGTTTAATGGACATCGATACATGGTTTCGCTTTGTAGATCCTTTGGCAGCTCCAGAATTGGAAACTCTTTTCGACATAATCGAAAGTTCAAGCTTAGTTTTTTATAAAATTGCCGAATATAACAGTCTGCAAAAAATAATAAGCTCGATCATGACATTAAGAAAATCATAATTCAGATAAATTCATCATAATTCAGAAAATAAGAAATAACATCAATGAGAGCTGAATGAATATGCTGGGCATAACCAAATGCTCCTTAAACCCTTTCCGGCAGCTACCTTTTAAAGTCAGAATTTTGAGGGGCAAAAAAAAAAAAAAAAAAAAAAAAAAAAAAAAAAAAAAGAAAAAAAAAAAAGAAAAGGCAGGCAGTCTAATTAGGCCTAGAGGAGTACACAAGCAAAATTCTGTGAAGATAGCACTTATCGTTTTTAATTCTTTGGGTGTGCACAAAGTTGGCACACGAATTGAATAGAGCTTCGAAAAAGAGTGCTGAAACGAGTATTGTTGTCAATGAAACTTACTGATGAGATGCCGAAGAAAACAAGAAACAAAGAATACAGCTCAGTTGTCCTAGATTATCGGTGAGCCCAATTTGGGCACACCTACGGTTCGCCATTTGATTTTAGTTAAAGAGTTAAAAATTTAAAAACTAAGATAGAATAAGGAGATTAGCATACGCCAAAAAATATAACAGAAATTCTTTTCACACAATTCCTTTTTACTTAAAAAAAAAAAAAAAAAAAAAAAAAAAAAATATATATATATATATAAAAAATGAGGGTCTTAAAAAAAATAAACATGGCTAAAATATATGGACTGGTTTCTGTTGAGCTGCCATCTACT